AGAATTTTAAGCGCTATCTTTTGATAATAATGAGAGCTTTACTTACAGTGATAATAGACAGGAAATCTTAAAAATACTGGGAGGCTCATTATTCCTGGGACACCCGATAGATCTGTAATAGTATGGCTATCGTCATTAGAACTAATCTAGAAAGATGTTTTGTTGAAATATAGACAAGTACAACAAGCAAACTAAAGATTTCATAATAGAAATAGCAAAACATTGATAATAAAATATAAAATAAAACGAATCTGTTATGATATGACATCTATATAAATGTAAACCTTCATCTTTTCTATTTCTGTCGTGTCAGTTCTCTTTATTTTTTTTTCTTTTCTTCTTTTTGATGACTATATAGATGTGTTATTACATATGACTAATGTCCGTGGCACAATTAAAGAGTGGTAAGTGTAAGCTCAATAACAGTCATAGTTAGTGATCTGTAGTGTTTAGAAATCGAAACAGAAGATTTCTCTGACGCCTTTTTGTTGGATACTATATATAAAACAAAATTACTTTAGAACTTATCGTCTTCTCAAAACATTGCAAAAATGCATGAAAATGATGTTCCGCTTCAAAAAGATTTTGATTAAAATGAACGAAATTCTATATCATTTGATCAAATAAATACGTGATTTTCTTTGCTCGACATTGATATATGAAAAGATAAATACCTGAATCGTACCTTGAACTCCGGATCTGAAGGACATGTTAAAATGAAAATTGTACCGAAACGAAATATCATTTTCATGCACGTGTTGGGAAGATAACAGATACTAAAATAATTTTATTTTCTATACTATCAAATAAAACAACGTCCTGATTTCTCTTTTTTCTTCGATTGCTGAAAACTACAGATCGTTAGATATTGCCGTTGTCGATTTATTGAGGTTACACTGATACCCTTTTTATTCTGACAGGGAGATTAAATAGTTTTGATTTAAAGAAAATAGAAAGAAAAAGGTTATACTCTTCTTAAAACGTGATCGTACTTGCCCTCCAAAATAAAGAAAATAAAGTTACCAAATATAGGGCACAATAGAATAGTTTACGGGGAATGAAGTCAAACTTACGTCTATTGTTTTGTTATAGGGTGCTGTTAATTCAACATTTGAGTAAAAATTGTTTTTTCATGGTTGGATAGAAGTCGTCGAATTACTTACAGAAATGTTGCTAGACAATATTTTTGTAGAATCAGGAACGTTTATAAAAATTTAAATACACTAAAAACATCAAGTCTCGGTAGCCTCAATATTTATCAAAATATTGTATTTTCTTTGACTTTACTCGTCAAATAGTTAACAAAACAAAAAAAAAGATACATTCATTTTGAAACATTTTTTTGTGATTATTGAGACAATCGGTTTTTTTCGATATGATAGCAAAAAAAGACATCATTGCTTTTTTATTTCTATTCAATTAATTATAATGTCTCTTCTCGTTTTAATGAATTAACAATCTTTATTTTAGATATTAAGTATTAAAATTGATAATAAAATTTGAAAATGTTTTAGAGATCTTTTTCTTTCTTCGTTAATCTATTTACTATTACAATAAGGTTATATTGTTAATATCTATAATACCTATGTGTTCGTTCTTTTTCCTTTAATAGACGAACGAAATCACAAGACACTAATACTCGTCGATAAGGCTTAGACGTTGTCATCATCCATTCCCTCATCAAAGGAAAAAAACAACAGACAGATAGTTATTATACATGGTAAAAATGTAACCCTTGATTGTACTAGTAAACAAACTCGAAAAATATCTCGATAACAGTTTCAAATTTTCATAATTACAATCTTAAATAAATTTTATTAATTTATCATTAAAACAGGAAGAAATTTTATATTTAATTAAAAGATAATGAACTTTCTTTATTTGTAAAACTAAAAACGACACAAATACGAGTTTATATTCAGTCATCTTGACAATTAGAAATTCAGTTCCGAGAGAAACGAATATCGTATTTAGAATCAATACGAAAATCTACATTAAATAGTATACTAAATATTCAATCTTAAGAGATGCACAGATTACAATATTCAAAAATAACACTTATGAGTATAAGAATCAAAATTAGATTCTAGTATTACGTGTACTATTCAACACAGAATTTAATACTTATTTGAAATATAATATTCATTTCTTTCGGAACTATATTTCTGATGATCAAAAATTGTTGAATACGAATCCATTAGATATGTTAGTTTTTTTGCTATCATATAAAAAAAAATCGATTTTCTCAACAATTAAACAATATTTAGGCTACCAAGACTTGATACTTTTGGTGTATTTCAATTTTTATAGACTATTCTGATTTTTTTTTCACTATAAAGTTTCCCTACAATAATATCATCTGACAATATTTCTATAGTTAACTCGACGAAGTCTATTCTACCACAACAAAAAAAAAATTTATTTCGAATCTCGAGTTGCCGACACTTTATACTTGCCTTTCAGTTTTTGTACTTCTTATGAAGGACATTTTAACAATAGTCGAACGAATAGACTTCAATACGGTTTGAAAAAAATAATAATAATTTTGAAAAATAGAATTTTCTGGATACAGTAGAACATTTGAAAACTATAAATCATTTTTTTTTTTAATAAAGAGTTTCGATATACGATAAAACTATGTTTACTATTTGTTAATTGAAAAACTATTCATTCAATAATAATAAGATAAGCAAGCATAGTGTGGTGAAATTTTATCAAGCGATAAATGGAAGTAATAAAAACAAAAAGCTAAGTAAACATATCGCATGGAGTATTTGAGATACTAAAGACTCATAAGAGAAAATTCATTAGTAACTATTGATGATGAATTACCTTTTTCTTTTTCAAGTTAGAATATAACGACGCAAAAGTTTATGAATAATTATCTCGTATAAATAAAGATAACTCTTTATCAGAACTTTAAACTTAATAAAAATAACTTAGATGAAGAGAGTAATATAGTGAAGAAGATACAACACTACTCATCAATAATCTGTTTCTTATATACGAAAGGAAAAATATTAAGATAAAAATAAAACCTTCTTACTATGTAAAATATTGTCATAAAATAATATGATCACAATCACTTGTTGAAAATTAGTAAGAGGGGTATTCAGTACACCGTAACCGTCGCCATCTTATTGTCTGTTTGTTGTTGCTATCTTCTTTCTACAATTCTCTTCTCAAGCAATGGACATCAAATAACGTATAAAATAAAGCGGTTTCAAAAGATGTCACTAATTTATGTATTGAAATATAACGAGAATATTAATACTCAATAAGATTAGCAAAGAATTAGATGTAGATTACATAATTTTGTTTGTCATTTTTATATTCATTATGTATTCCATGTTATATTTCAGTATCTATGTTAACAATGTTATGAATAATTCTTCTCTAGGCAACGTTTCTAATGGATTTATGAAACACAATATTTTCTTACAATTTGTTTAACTGAGAAAAATGTACATGTACACTTTATTTTCACAAGAAAAGTGTACTAATTGAAGTTTGTTATATAATTTAGAAAAATAAATTAGTCAGATCTAAGAAAAAGGCGTTGGAAAGATAAAAAACACTGACATAGTAGCCATTATGAAATTCATTACTAAGCGAACTCTATTAACAGTTGTCAACACATATTTAATAAATAATTTCAATTTGATGGCTTGACTTTCTGATTCATAATTTGTCATCAACTGTCTTGAATATGAGCAAGGAAAGTAGCGGCTAACTATTGTTGCTACCTTCATTCTAATAATATCGAAGTGTTAAAAAAATCAAGTGCACAGAAATTTGCGTTTTCGGGTGGCTTCTTCTAGTGGAGTAACCGAGAGATTGTATGTGATATGGCAGCGTTGTACGAACTTGAGAGGATTCCATGCAATATAATGACATTGATGGTAATTAAAACATATTTTGTTTGTAATGGTGAGGTGGTAGCCTGCCTAGTTCACCCTTGGTTACGCCGTGATCTTTCTGATACCAACATCAATAAGAAAATCTCGATTCGGTTCATACAAAAAAATTAATCCCTTCATTGTCATTAGAGCCCTGCAGGATGCAGGTAACCTGCCCTGCCCTGCCCTGCCCTGACAGGGCAGGACAGGACAGGCTGCGAAAATAGCAGGGCAGGGCAGGGCCAGGTTATGAAATTTTTACAGGGCAGGTTACAGGTTGTCCATATCGTAACCTGTTAACCTGAGATTAATTTTGAACAACCGACATTTCCGGTATCTTTTAAAAAAATTAGGTATGAAGAAAGATGAATTTACCGAGACTAAAGCACTCATAATATAAGAAATGATCGGCTATGATAGATTGCAGCTAGTTTTGTTTATTCGATATTTTTCTATTAGTAATCTTGAAGAAATTAAGCGTTATTTTTATCCAATTCAAATTTGAAGTACACACAATTAAATGTACTATAAATACTGATAGGAAATTTTGGATATTCCTCTGTTTTAAAATTAGCAGGGCAGGGCAGGGCAGGTTACAGGTTACATTAGAAAGTTTTAGGGCAGGGTCCGCAAAAATATTCGCAGGGCAGGACAGGATCAGGTTACAAAAAATTTACAGGGCAGGTTACAGGTTATAAAAATCCTGCACCCTGCAGCCCTCTAATTTACTCGTCGTTGTCTTTTTTCCAATTCCAATTTTTTCAGCTGAGGTTCAACCGTCTTTTTCTACTACAGTTTTAAAAGTTACTGAACGTCCTTTTTCTCATGATCGTAATACTGTGAGCGATACTTTCATCTGTTAGATTCTATCAAAATGTTCTTAAATATAAACCAGATTGTTTTTTTTTCTCAATATCACTGTCTTTTTCTATTTCTTCATTATCTATATATCATCACTATTCAATTCCTAATTGTTTTCAATTTTTCAGTGTAGTCATCTAAATTGACTCCAATTACTTGTTGAAATGAAAAAAAAAAGAATAGGCAGGCAGACCACTTCTCCAAATATTCAATTTGTTTAAATATTTGATACAAATTTCTATGTGGTTTTTTAGAGCTACTGCTGAAGATTGTTTACGAAGTTCATATTTTAAAGAAGCACCATTACCTTGTGAAAACGATCTAATGCCTTCATTTCCTCAACATCGGAATCAAAAGTCATCTTCATCTAATCAAAATCGACCTGCATTACCAGCACGATTATCTTCCTCATCAAATGAGCCTAGTTCCCTTGTAAATGATAATCGTAAAAAACAAAATCTACCACCGCTTCGTGTCGGTTGTACCAATGTGAAACGCTTACGAAAATCTTAATAAAAAAAAATATTTTTTAGATTTTGTGTTTTTCTCTTTACATATTGTAAAAAAATTCGATCATTGTAGATGGGTACTCCAGCACAATCAAATCAACTTGCCAAATTATTACGTGCCATAGCATGTTCAGGTATACAAAAATTTTCTTAAAACTTTTCGATACTTATTTTCTTATTTATTATTATTAAACGAAGGTGTTATTCTCGGTCCATATATTTATACAATGGCTCGACCAGAACAAACACTAAAATATAGATTTATAAGATCAACAAATGAAAATGGAGAATTTGTTAAAGTTGATTCATCATATAATAAATTTGCAACTGAAGTAAATTAATATTGTTTTTCTTTTCTTGTTTTATAATTATTTCTATATTCTTGATTAGATTGCATATCGAATGCGATTAACTGAACAATTACGTCGTTCGCCTACATTTGATATTCGTTTATCTGTACATACAGGAATGGATTTTGATATAAACGGTCATTTTACACCAGTATTTGATGGTATTGTTTATTTAATGGTTCCACAATGGGCTAATATATCATCAATTGATGATTTGAAAAAAATAAAAATGAATATTGCTGGTCAAGAAATAGATTTTTCTAATCTTGATTTATCACGTATTGATCAAAGTACATTAAAATTTCAATTTGATAAAAATGAACAACCAAAAAAAGGACCAGAAGAAATTACTCAAACATCGAATGAATCAAAATCTTGGTTTAGTCGATGGTTTAGTAGTACACCCACACCAGCACCAGCGTCACCACCAACACCTTCAGCAACATCAATTGAACCAATAACACGTAATTTTTTCTTCACATGTAAAAAAAATTCTCGATTTATATCTGTAATTCAGGTGAAACATTATTAGTACAAAAACTAATTGAAACATTTCATCTTTCGGATGAAGCAAAAAAATATATAATTGCTGATCAATTTGAAACAGCATTAGGTCCATGGCATATGTTAGCATGGTGTATTGTTGGTGGTTCATTTTTTCTTCCATTTACACTTTATACACGTCTTCGTTTTCAATTTCAAACACGTTTTAAACGTTTTCTTTTTTTTCATTTTCTTCTTTTAAATGGTCTTTTATGTTTTTATTTATCACCATTTGTTGGTCGTCTTGTTAATATGCAAGTTAGTCGTATACGTGATTCAACAACAACATCGTATGGTTTAGATTTACTTGAAGGTGGTATTGAATATTTAGAAAAACAACTTGAAAGAAATCGTATTTTACGTGAATTATTACCAAATGGAAAAGATCTTTTTGATCAAGATGGTGAACGAAGAAAAACACGTGTTAGAATACCAAATAGTGGTGAATTGTCATTTTTTTTATATCATTGGAGTCCATTAATTGCTTACAGACTTAAACGATTAAGAGCTAAATTGAATACATTAATGAATGTACCAGAAGCTGAAGCACGAAAAACAATATTTAAACCAATGGCAGAAAGTCAATTTGTGGAAAAACCTTCCCCATTAAGATAGAATGTTTGTTTCAATGTACTTTTCATTGTTATTAAAACAATAAATAAAAAGCACAAAACAAAAATAATGAATTTATGAAATTGAAAAAATAAATATTATTTTCAATGGAAATAAAACCATTGACGACTCATATTAGTTTCCAATTTATAAGATAATATCATTGTATGTGCTGCAGCTAGTATAAGAAACCTCCAAATCAATTTTTATTACAAATATTACTAAATCAAAATCTAAATAGTCTATTTTGATTGAATGCATAATATGTAAAAATAAAATTGTTTTGTGACAATACACTGCTGAATAGATTGCAAGAATCAAATCAAACGTATCATATTCATTAAAAGCTGTTTCAGTATTCATCTTACATGATTAGATTACTAATGAAGTGTTCAGATTATATGACGAAGAAGCTCGAGTTACAATCAACAGACTTTGCATGATTGTTGTCAAATCAATTAGTATAAAATAGTGAGATATCTATGTCTATAGTTTTGCCCATTACCTTAGAATTACAAAATATTTGAAAATCATAGTTGTTTTTATCCTTATCGTGGAAAACTCATTTTTCATACTTAATTTACTAGTATATATTAAAATAATCATTTATAAATGTTTAATTTCAATAGACTGAAGAAGAATGATGCTATTAACAATTGAACAATGAAGGTATGATTAGTAATTCAATATTTCTGACAAACTATAGAAAATAGAAAAATATAATAAAACAAGATCGAAGAGTAAAACTAGTATGTTCCGAGTGGATAATCCCCGGATTTTGTTCATCAATTCAACTTTAGCAAGAATATTCTAATCGGCTTCCTGAATCCTCGTTCCCAATTCTCATGACCTTGAGAAACTTTTGACTAAAAATTCATTAAGTTTTTATTTCTTGTATTTTCCCGCTTGAACTTTATCTCTAATGATTCAATATCGTTGTTTTTTCTTATCCTATTCCGAAAGTTCAATGAATAATAACAACTTCATTCGATTGAAATTATTTATTAACATATATCTTACTAATATTATTTATTTAATCAAATTCATAGCGCCATCTACTCAGAAAAATATCTTGCCATTCCTACATTGGTAAAAAAAACATATGACTGATTAAGTTTAGTTAGTACAACAAGACACACAAAAGAGGAAAAAAAAGAACTGTTTAATATTATTGATTATCTTTTATTCTTATGTGGATGTTTTGTTTGTTGTTGTTGTTGTTGTTTTTAAGATGAATTATTTTTCTAATAATAATGTTATCTTTAATAAATGATCTTCTCCAATATCAAATGATTCGATGAACAGAGTTTCAGTTTGGCAAGAATTCAATGCATGGTAATAATATTATTTCCTTTTTTGTTTTTCTGAAATTGTTGTTTTTTTTTTGCTTTTAGTCAATTTCTTGTTTCATTTTGTTTACTTATCTTTAGCATTCTATATGCTTTTCGTGAACAGTCATTTATTTCTTGGCCATATTGGTTGGTTTTTTTACCATTATTTATTTGGAAAAGTTTGGCAATTGTAGGAGCTATTATTGGTATTTGTACTTATTGTTGTATTCGATCGAGAAAGTAAATTTATTGAGATAAAAATAAAAATTTCTTTTTGTTTTTTTTTTTTTAATAATTTTAGTCGTGAACGTAATTCGCCAATTCAATGTCGAGCATTATTTTTTAATTTAATTGAAACAATCCTTTTACTTTTTTTTGAAATCTTAGTATGTTATAATCTTGATCAACCACACGGTTCTGAGTATCGTTTAACATGGATTATTTGCTTTTTACCACTAATTATTCTTTCAATTATATCCGTATTTACTTATGTTTGGTTATTACGTCATGGTCGATCTTGGGAGGTATGAAATTTAAAAAGAAAAGAAAGATTGATAATTATAAACATTTCTTTTTTGTTTTTTCATTTAAAGATTCAAGCATTATTTGTTGTTAATATTCTTCAATTTATTTTTTTTGCTCTTAAATTAGATAATAGTATTATTACATGGAACTATGCGGTTTGTTTGTATTTAATTAAAAGATTAAGATTGTTTTGTTGTATTTTAGGCAGTGTTTATTCCACTATGGATTATCATGGGTATATCAATTATTTTTTGTGTTGGTCGTCTCATATGGACACTTGTACATTATCATCGAAATGATATTAATCATGTTGCAAATGGACAGCAAAGACTAAATCGACGATATTGCCATATTTTAGCAAGCCCAACTGTTGGACATATCTATGTACTTTTATTTTTACTTATTTTTCAAGTAAAATTTTTTTTTTTTTCGTTTTATAAAATTTTAATAAAAAGTTTTTTTTTCTTTTTTTGTATTTAGATTCTATTAGTCTTCTATTTAGAACACCTTTTTGAGCTTTCATTTATTGTTGTTTGTCTACCTTTGTATTTTGCATTAATAATACTTATTTATATGTCATTTGGTAGTCGAGTACCAGCTAATCATTGTAAGAAAGATTGCTTTTATTTTTATTTTTGTTTTAATCTTTTATTTTAAAGGGTGGTTCGGTCTACGACAAGATGCATGCGAATGGCTTCTACATTTATGTCCAATATTTGAAACTTATGCCAACATTGAATATAATTTTACTACATCAAATTCTCCAACAATATCATTGCACAATGTTGATTCAATAAGAGTAAATTCACCAATAACATCAAATATACAATCGAATGAAAATCTCGAATCATCTCGTCGTCATCATAGACATTCACGTAGATTTTTTTTTCGTAAAACTTCATCTTCATTCTATGATCAAACTAAAAATGATCATGTTGAAAATGAATTATTAACAACAGTAATACTACCTTCATCGAATATTTTAAAATTGCATGAACCTGATTAATAAATTTAATAAATATATATATATATATATTGATCGTCCATAGAAAAATAAAATAAAATTTATAAGACGTTATTTTTATTTTAGATGAATCTATAATGGATGGACACCTCGCGATACATACAGTCTTGTAATCCAGCGTAAGAAAATTCTGCTTTTTTTTTTCTTTTTGTTTTTTCTTTAAAAATTATTCGTTGAAAATTTAGACGTTTTGTTGTTACTTTTTCTTTATTGATCTTTTCAATTTTATTTGCCTTACAACTTGATGGATATATCAAAATTAGTTACTGGCTTGTTTTCTTGCCATTATTTATATGGAAAATGCTTGTGGTGCTTGGTGCCTGTACAGGCGTCTTTTTCTGGTGTAAAAATGGCGAAAGAAATAGGTGATAAAAGGACGCGAACGCATAAATACCAGTTTTGCGCTACTTCATTTTTTGTCAGAAAGAAACATAGAATGGTATCTAAAGATTAGAACATATATAATGTGTTCGAGAAAACATATTACTACATGTGCGGATAGATAACAAGTATCGATTTTTTTGACATCGAGACCATTCAAAAGTGTATACTTTAGAGAGTTGAAGCATAGCTTACGATGAAATGAAGAAAATCCGCTTCTGTGTCAGTCATAGAAGGTTTGGGTATTTATTCTCTTATTCATCTGAATGATTTGAATTGAAAGATTTTTCAAGTAGAATACAAAATTTAATTGTTTTTAAAAAGAATTCTCTAATGTTGTTTGTCTTTTTGCTTTTAAACTAATTTTATTGTGCATTAACATCGTTTAATTTTCATCTAACATTTTGATTCTGATTTATTTCATAATCATTTAAATATTTTATTTTATATTTTAAAATATTTGATATATAGAGTTGAACAATGTATTATAGTAAGCTCGTGTCGTGATGCTATTTTTTTACTTTACACGCACAGCAATTCAATCATACACAAAGTGTACGTACTGTTCGGATAACTTAATGAGATTATGATGGACTCCTAAAAGAGAATCAGAGGCAAACGTTTCAACGAAAATCAAAGTTGTCTGAACAATTTCAAAACACATATTGGTCGACTCAATTGTCGATGTTGATTTCAAATATGTTTTTTGTTTTGATAAAAAAAGTAACGACTGTGAGACCTAAAGTTTTCTCGAACAAATTATACATGTTCTTGTAGCCTGTCATGTATTCTACCAGTACTAGAATTTTGATGACGTGTTTGTTTTTATTCTCTATAATATTATGCTTTCAAGATTGACTAGTAGTCGAAAATATATCTATTTGGACTGCTGAAGAGTTCTTCTCAGCTTAACGAAAGATCATTTATATAATATTTTTGATACTAAAAAGCAGCTTAAATTATGTTCTATTGATCACACTATGAGTGAGCTTATTGGCTTGTAACTCCATCTGAGAAGTATCTGTCGTCTTAGCTAACAATAAGAAGAAATGCTATTAAGACTTCGTGGCAAGATTTATACACAGTTAGATTTACCAGTTCAAGCGCGATCCAACATGATCGATTTTATGTTTCTTTTGTGAAAAATAAATTGAGTGAGCTAAAACTGGTTCTTGTGCACCTCAGTTCTTTAATAATAAAAATGTATTGAAATTTTATTTTTGAAGGATTATCCGTGCACCAGATAATGATTGCCGAGCATTAATTATTTATTTTTTTCTTCATATATTTATACTTATATTTGAAATATTGACTTGTGACAAATTAGAAAATAAATTAGAAACTCGTTGGATTGTATGTTGTATTCCGTTATATCTATGTACATTTTTGACTTTTTTATCATGTTTATGGTCGTTAAAAGTACAAAGAAATTTTCTCGTATGTAAAAAAGAAATTCAATATGAAACATTATTATTTATCTTATGTTTTGATTTTGTTTAGATTCAAGCCTTCATCTCAGCTAATGGACTTTTCTTTTTGTTTTTTCCACTTCGTCTGGATTCTTCGATAACATGGCGATATGTTGTATGTATTCTTCTTTTTTTTTATTTGATTAATAAATTAATATTATTATTGTTTTTTTTTTCTTGTTAATTATAGATTGTTTTTATTCCATTATGGATTTCTTTATGTATTGCCTTATTATTTGTTATTTCAAAACTAATTCTTGCTATTGTTCATCGTTGTTCTCGTCGTTTAATACCTAATCAACGTGAATCGAGTACTATAATAGAAGCAATCATCTATGCAACTATGTTCATTCCATTTATCATTTTTGCGGTAATTTAATATTTTATAGTTTTGTTAAAATTTAAATTGAAGAATGAATATTCAGAAAATGAGAATGTATAAAAAGTAAAATAACATAAATAGGATAATATAAAGGCTAAGATGATCTATTTCATTTCATTAGAGATGTGGACGACACATAAATAAAAAAGTTTAAAATGCACCGAACACGGGACTACGAGAAAAAAAGTTATTTAAATTAGAAAGTTCAGTATCTACACCGCCTCCCCCAAAAGAAACTGGTCACACACATGACTATTACTCGTTTCAAAATATGATGTAGTTCACTTTTTTCTCAGTAACTTTGGACAGGAACATCATAGAAATCTACGATTTTCACCATTCAAGAGAGAAGAGTCAGGACTCTCAAAGTATGTTGCAATTTGATTGGTCAGCCGATGACTAATTATGTGAGTTTTTGGTGAAGAGTTTTCAAAAGGATATTCAGAAGCTATTTTCCTATTAATTTAGACTTTTAGTAGAACTCATTGATAAACAAATTCTTCTCTTCAGATTTACGCAAGACTAACGTTCCTAGCTGGTTCTCTTCGAGAGTAATAAGACTTTTTCTGAGACTTCCGATTTCAGTGAGTTGAACTGTGATCATCCGAAAAAGTAGCTAGGCCGGGACATGCTGAATTGAATGATGCGGACCCAACTAGAAAAGCCAACCTTACGTAAATCAAAAGACAAGAGTTTTTTCTATGGAGCATAGTCCTATTATAAGTCTAAATTGAAACGAATATAGCTTAAGAATAGAGTTTTTGAAAATCTCGTCCAACAATTAACTTGATTGGCCAATTGTTGATCAATCCAATTTCGATAGATTTCGTTGACTCCGGGTAATGTCTCTTGAATAATGAAAACCACGAGTCTCTATGATATTTCTATCAAAATTTATTCGAAAAACCAGCGGAGCACTTTATATACTGAAATGGATGGTATATCTAATTCATTCATATAGTTAATAAACTCGATATATGTCTATCATTAGCAGTGTAATGAGAGATGTCTTCCAGCAGATGAATCACTTTTAAGGATATCTCCCTTTCATGACTCAAAATGTTTGTTTTTTCTTGTGACCATTGCAGTGTCTGAAGTAATATCTATCCACTGTGTAAATTTTGCAATCGAAAAATTGTCTTTCAACTTTAAGAAAGTTTGAGAAGAAATCGATTTAGAGAAAACTGCATTTTTATCAAACCAAACATTTCTTGAAAAAAGCGCAGAAATGCTCACATTTTCTGGTCGGATAAGTTCGATCAAGCTGAAACTTTTTCATATATTATTTGGACTGAATATTGTTCTGCTGATTACCGTCGATATTTTGACTTGTTCATTCGAAGGACAAAAACTATCACTGAAGTATTGAAACACATCGCTACAAAAAAAAGAAGGGCACATTTTGGTAGAGTTGATGTCTTAATATTTCAACAAACCCTGTGTCGATGCCTCACTATTCAGTATTCATACCAATCTATACATCTCTAGTTGTATTTCATATTGATTCATGACTCGTAGTGAATTTCATAGGAATGAAAAAAAAATTAATGAAACGTAGACATTATACTTATTTAATTTCAATTTTTCTTTGTTGAGTTATTTTTTATATGAGTATATTAATTTTTATAGATTTTACTTGTCGATCGACTTGATCATGAAGACAATGAACAAATTCGAAAAGTCTCCTTCACTGTGATATCTATTCCATTATGGATTGCTTTAATAGCTTGGCTGACATTTTCATTTGGCGCTACTGATAGCAATCCATGTAATTATATCTTAAATAAAATAAAAACTTCTTTTTTTTACATTAGGGTTTTTGTTCTAGGGTGGTTTGGTCTTCGACGTGATCTATGTGAGATTCTCCTTGGTCAATGCCCATTTATAACACTTTATTTTAATAATAAATTTAAATTTGAACCACGTCCATCAACAACAGTACCAACAAATGATACAATTATTGATGTAACAACATCAAATGTTAATAAAAATGTTGGATCAATAAATATGAAAAAATTATTAACAACAAATATAAATAACGAAAAAAATCGCTCTATACAGTCTAATTTGATGTCACTATTGGAACCTGATTAATTGAAATATGGTGATTTTTAATTTATACAATGAATAGACTTTTGCTTTTCTCGATCGCCGGTGATGTTCGTCTTTGTATTGAATTTTTCGCTGTCATTTTGTGTTGTAGTGAAAAAATAACTAACTACGTGATTGAATTATTTCATGTAAATAAATATTATTTGTTTTGTATATGAGTCTACCTAGGTCACAGGCACAAAAAAATTCATAAATTGATGATTCGTATGATTGTATTAAAAGAAAATTTATTAATAGAAGAGAAACAATATCAAGTAAATACATGACTAATGTTGCATGTGATTTTCCACACAGTGCCTCGTTTCCTGGAATTCAACCACTCTGTACCCAACCTCTTGCCTCCAGTACGTACTTACGCCTTTGTAAGGTCATAATAAAAATTAATGGATGTTCAATCAGTCTTGTATACGAAAGAAGAAAACTTCTTCAGATTAATCTTCCGACAAAGATTTTTTACTTATCGAAAAACTGCAAACCTTCGATGTTTTTCCTTTCGGCCTTTTTTTTCCGCCATCCCAATTTCATTTTCATGCATTACGATATCCGTATCTTCTGAACGACATACGCTAACCATGACAAAGAACAAATTATCATTGAGTCATATCTAATGTTTTCAATTTGTCATATTAAGTTATTCATTAATTCTATTTACTATTTCAAACAGAATATATTTTCAAACCAACGAAACGAAAAAAAAAAAAAACTTTAATCAAGTTTAACACAAACACAACAAAAAAGTATTTAAAACTCTAATGTTCATAAGTCTTGATAATATTGAATAATAGAGTTTTCTTATTTATTCATCATCATGGCTTGATTGAGAAGATTTAGGTTTTTCAGTTGTTACTACGACAGATAATTCAAATTCTGTGTTGACAAAAAGACGATCACTCATTTTTTTAATATCATCAATAATAACAGATAGTTCAGTAACATTAACAATAAGAACATCAGTAGCTGCATCTTTAGGCATAGAAATAGTTTCTTCGTTATAATCGACTGTAGTTGATTCATCCGAAGTATCTTTATCATCATCATAAACCATTGATTCTGTTGTTGTTATTGTTGCATCAGTAGAGTCATCGTCTAATATTTCCGTATATAATTCATTATTAGGTGTTGGAGCTGTTGAAATAATCGTAATTAAGACGGAAATCAATGGTACGAAAACCAACATAGCACGACCACTAATCATGATTGTTTGAATCGTATATATATATATGTTATATGTACGAAGAGACGAAAAAGGATAAATAAATAAAATTGTCCTTCAAGGCATGCCTTTATATGTAATAGACAAATCTATGAAAATATATTTTCTTTTTCTTCTATTTTGTTATCTATTTCTTTTCTCTGTTTTCAAATCATGTATAACGTTCTGCTATCATAGACAAAGATGTCTCATTGCATTCAAATTATAGAAGTTTACTAAACGGTTCGATTCGATCACGTGTTCGTTTACATTTTATCGCTTAGACTAAAAATAATGTAACTTGAGTTTATTATGATACGACGAATATATATATATATATATTATACTCCACTATACGAGTTCGTTCGTTCATTCATTCGACAAGTTATGAGAAAACTTTCATACTGTGATAATTATTTGACATTCAAATAAACTAATATCTGCACCTAGATGTAATGAACGTAGATATTTTATTTTAATAGTTTTTAATAGAAACAATGTAGAGATCTGCGGTTTTTATCACTCAAGAGAAAACATCATCCGAAACTATTAGAATGAGTGAAAGTCTGATAGGTCAGCGATCGACGAATAAGGTGAGTTCTTGACGAATATTTGAGAAATGAGATTCTGAAAAGGTTTATCATTAGATTTTAGTTTGTTATATGGTCAACTGGTAGTTCGCAAACCTTGAGTCGTAGCTGTCTTCGAGCAAGAGTTACAAGACTTTTTCTGAGACCGTCGATTTCAGCAAATTGATCTTGGAAGAGTCGAAAAAGGACTCAGACAGGGATGATTCATTACGCTAAGAGAATACAGCATAAAAATCTAAGTTTTTTCGAAATCTTCATATGATCATCTCAGGTTCCAATGTCAAATTGCTAAACTCGCAGAACTTCGAAAAAAAAACCTCTGTTACTCTTGAACGGAAACAGCTGCTGACTTAAAGTTTGCAAAGATCAAAAGAGAAGACTTTTCCGTACCAATTGATCATAATAAAAGCTAAAATCCAGAGAGAAATGGTTTCAGATTCTCGCTTTGAAAACCGTACATCTCTACGTTGTTTCTATTGAAAGTTATTTAAAAAAAACATGTGCATTCATTACATTTTGGCACAGATAATATATTTCTATTTGTGCCTTGTTGTACTAAAGAAAAAAAAATGAATCAATAATCGATAGCCATTGCTGTTAAGCTTTTAGCGCTCATCGTGTTATATGAAATATTTCTTTCTTTATTGTCAGTCTATAATTTATAACGATATAAACAGTGTAGCGTAGATGTCCTCAATCATTTTTTATAATAAATATTTTACTCATTAACAATGAAAATAGTAGATTAACAAGGAAACTTTCAAGTAATAACTTTCGTTCGAACTCATATTTTAGAGTCCTATTGTGCAGATAGAAGTCCTACAAGGATATGTACTACCAGCGCTTCTTTTTAGCAGAAACACCGAACGAGTCTGGTTTCTTTTAAATGTTATAAGAACTATGAGATCTATTGTTGAATAAAATTTCAGACTAAAATTTCTTGATTCAATTTTCTTTGTCATACTGTGCAAAAGGCTAAAAACTTTTAAAATCTCTTAACTGTTTGACTAGTTTCGTAAGGCGTTCTATTCGAACGTTTTCTTTTTCATATTCGATTTATTTTTTATCTTTAACAACGCCTTATGAAAAAAAGAAGATGTTTCATAAGAATATAATTTCTCAAAAATATTCATCATGTCATAAAGCCAATATGATGAGGAAAATGTATTATTAAAAAAAAGGTGAACATGTATTATTGTGATGAAAAAGTATTCATTTACGTATCCACAAATATGATGTTTGACACCAGCATTGCATTCTATTCCAATGTCATCAGCAACAAGTGAACCCTGAATCACTTGCTTCTTTCTTGTGAAAGTTGAGAGGATCTCTTTTTTTTGCTGCTATTTATAGAAGAAACTAATAAAAAAGAAATATTTTTTCCTATAAAATAAATGTTCAGAAACCGAACTGGAAAAGTATCTGCTGGATGTCAATTAACACTCCGATCAAATACAAGATGATCTGATCCGAACTCGGGCTCTGGTATTATAAAAAAAAAGTGTCCATGCAAGTCCGTTGTTGTGTTCATCTCATTGAAACAGTACTAATGATTGTAATATTTGATTTTCCATCGAGTTTTACATCTGTATCTATCTCATTAACTTTCTATTAAATAGTATTTATCACGTCTTTTTGTTCATTTTTTTCTACTTTAATGATTATTTTTTATCTATAAAGAAATTCTAAATCTTTTTTTATGGTTTCGTTTGTGTTTAATCGTATTGGAAATATTCATTTAATTTATCAGATTTATCAGTTTAAAATCTCTTCTATAATTTTCTTTTTTTATTAGTTATAGATTCATACTCAGATATAATTTCTAGATATGATCATAAAATTTACTTGGTAATAAAAGTATTCATTAGATATTTTTTTTTAATTAAATTTAAAAAAAATGTCATTTTAAGCTTGTATGAAACGAATTCTTTTGATTGACAATAAAGCTTTTTCTTATTTAATATAAATTCTTATGATAATTATTTCAATGATCATTTCGACTGTTGTTCCCTAAGGCGTTATTATTGTTCTTCTACCTTAAACATATGATGACTCAATCCATGGCGTCAAAAGACTAATCACCTTCTGCTCGTCGATTATATTTGGACACGCGTTCAATCACTATTTGTTTGATAAGTATTCAAAAAAGGGCGTTTCTCATTTTCTTTTTCATTCACATATGCAGATTGTCTCTCAATAGTTCGAATACTTGTCATTTGTAGGCGCAACGGATCAAATAACATAGTTTGAAATGCTTCGATTACTTGGAAAAGCTCTTTTTTTTTCAGCGCGCATACACACATACAAATAGACATACAGAAAAAAAAAAGCAATGAGACAAAACAAAAACAAAAAAAAAAAAGAAAAACTTCAGTCATAAAAATCAAACGGCTGTTTGAGTCGTAAGAGAATTGGCAAAATCTTGGAATGTTGTGCTACTTTGTGCTTTATTATTATTATGAAATGCAGCTGCTGCATGTGCTGCAGCAAGAGTAGCTAATTCATAAAAAGATGTTGGATCAAAACGATGATGTTGTTTCGATGATGAAGACGAAAAATCACTGGGTAATGTTAATGGATGTTTAATCATCGAATTATTTGATGAAGATGATGGAGTTTGTAAAGATGCAACAACGGAATTTATTGATTGACTGGCTTCAACTATTTGACGTTTAAGTCTAAAGAAGAAAATCAATAAAATTTATTTTTCAAATAGAAAGAAGGTATTTCTACAAATTAGCGACGCCCACACTCTCTAATGTACTTTGCCAATTAGTCTCTGGGGTGCCGTTGATCTGAGAAAGAACTCGGTTCATGACTTTGGAGGACAACCTTTGTTATAGGGAAACTTTTTAAGATTGGAAGGTTATCCTACTGAGTTCTAGTCTCTCTTTTTTCTTTTATTCTAGACCCTAGTGATTAAAATACATACTTATTTCGTCGATTTTGAAACCAAATCTATGAAAAAAAAAATAAAGAAAAAAAAGTAATTTTTTTGTTTGTTTTGTTTTTGAAGAAAAAGATTTTGTTCATACTTTAACTTGTTGTTCCGTAAGACGTAAACCTTGAGCTAAATTGGCTCGATCGGCACTAGATAAATATCGTTTTCGATCAAATGTTGTTTCTAATTGAAATATTTGTGTACGTGAAAATACTGTACGAGTTTTCTTTTTTCTATGTATAATTTCATGATGATTATATTGATTTATAATACCATCTTCTGAACAACTTTCATCATCATCACTTGTTGATATAGCTGAACAATCACTACAACCATGATTATCATCATCAGGATTATTTATTAAATGTATATGTTTATTTTCATCGGTTGATAAATGTTTTTGATTATTACCATTAATAAGTAAATGATGATGTTTAATTTTAATAAATAATGGTTGTGGTTTGTCAAGAATATTATCAATTGAAAAACTTAATTTTTTCTGTACAGTTAAATCTTGTTCGTCTTCCATCTAAATTGTTTGATTTATGTCTAACGGAAATTACATGGACTCTTTTTTTAGTACAATTATCTTCCTGCTGTGTTTGTATGTGTGTGTGTATGTCTTTTTTCTCTCTTGTTCGCTCTCTCTCTCTCTCTCTCAAGTTAATCTTTCGCCAATCAAGAATAAGAGCCAATGAAAAAAAAAATATCTATGGTTGATAATCATTTCTCAATCGGCCAATCGGCGACAATTTCTTTTTTAGTTTATGAGAGAAAAATATGTTTTATATATATATGAGTAAAGAAAAGAAAAGAAAAGTGAAACTGACATTGTCTAATGGAGCAGGAAATGGATTTGATGTGCATGCTCTTAGCTTCCTAAGGTGATAATCGGCTGAATGATGAAGAGAGAGAAAAAAAAAAGACGAGCGTAAGAGCTCAATTAAATCAATTTGTTGGTTTAACTTAGTCACGCTCTTTTTTTACAAAAAGCTAAAAAACAAGAAGAAAAATAATGATAATTAGAATTTTGTTTGGTAATTTTATCTATTTAACAATCGAATATTCGATTTCATTTCGCACTCTTACCATCTGTATATACATATATATATATAAATGTTCATTCATCCCGTTTAGTTTATTAATAGCTTTTGCTCTTTTGTCGCATAGGGAGTTCGGTTCGTTCATTTGACTATGTTGTGATGCTGTCATTTGATAATGTATCTATCTCTCTCTTGTTCTCATATGTCGAGGCAAAATGTGCATTAATCGGATTTGATGCAGTAACTTATAATATGCGCGCTCTTCTTCACCTATCGATTGCGCGAGTGTCTATCTGTCTGTCTGTCTCAAAGGGACAGCCAACAGAAATCAGAAGCACAAGCATGACTGTCATTTGACATTAATAAGGCGGACTTTTTTTTTTGTTTGTTCTTTTGTAAAAGTGAAACGCGCCTATTCACATTCGGATC